TGACACATATAAGCCGGCAAAGGGTATGATACATAGGGAATTCAGGCCAAAGTGATGATGCATCTATTAACCTGCTCAGTTCACAAAATTATATGAAATGATTATACCAAGATTTACTTTTTGTGATCTTGTGACCATTATGAAGCATAAACTGTATTCATCAGTCTTACCTCCAGTCAGGAGGAAATGTAACTGAGGTGGCAAGCCATATAAAAAAAACAAAAATATCCAGTCAGATCCCAGAGTGGCATAAAAGCGACACATGGAACATGCAGTGCATCTTGCCACTCATGTCAAATGTTTCTTTTATTTCCAAAATGTTGATTTCAAGTGACAGGCAATGTGTCACACTGACATGGGAGCTCCCTATTAGAAAAGATACCATCTATCTGCTGCTGATTCACATCATCCCTTCCTGTGACCTATTGTCCTCCCCCCCACCCCCCAAGTTTCTTTCTCTCCTTTCAAAACTTAATTCTTCCTCCTTGTCATTCTACTGAATCCTTCCTACTAAGCCCTTCAAGACTTATATAAATAGAATGGCATCTGTGACATCCTGAGGAGTTTAAGGTAAGAGATCAAATAGAAACAGAAAATGAGGAAATAGATTTAGATGTATGAGTGGTGGTTGTTTGTGTGAATTGTGTGCTTGGGAACACAAAAAAATATATATATATTTATAGGAATTGTCACATCCATATGTATCTGTATTTTGCCAATTACCATTAACCCTAAGAAAAGAGAGTAAATTGTTTGGAGAACTAGATGTTTATTTTCCTAGTATGGTCTTCTATTTATGGAAATTAGAACTGAAGCCAAAGTTCTGATAACTTTATCTGACTCTGGAAGCCGACTCTAGTTGAGGAATATCACCCTTTTGGCCTGGCGTAGGCTTACTGTCCATTGAATTAGAAGTGCCAGACTTCAAGTATTATTTGCCCAGATTATACTGCTTGTTTTTATTAAAGAGTTTGTTAAATGTTATAACAGCATTGAGAATGTTTTGAAAGCAGGCTAGACATGCTAGTCATACTATATTTTTTGCCTGTAAATGAGAGATTACTACACTAAATATGCGCACATTTAAATGCACACACATGCGCACAACACACGCACACACGGACACACACACATATCACATCACATACATATACATACATATACATACATATACATACATATACATATGTACACATACATACATATACATATGTACACATACATACATCTATACATACTTACATACTTATATACAACACACACGCAACACACACACACACACACACACACACACACACACACACACACACACACACACACACACAACACACAACACACAACACACACACACACAACACACACACACACAACACACACACACACACACACACACAACACACACACACACACACAACACACACACACACACAACACACACACACACAACACACACACACACACAACACACACACACACACAACACACACACACACACACACACAACACACACACACACACAACACACACACACACACAACACACACACACACACAACACACACACACACACAACACACACACACACACAACACACACACACACACACACACACACACACACACACACACACACACACACACACACACACACAGACACACACAACACACACACACACACACATAACACACACACACACATAACACACACACACACATAACACACACACACACATAACACACACACACACATAACACACACACACACATAACACACACACACACATAACACACACACACACATAACACACACACACACATAACACACACACACACAACACACACACACACACAACACACACACACACACAACACACACACTCACAACACACACTCACTCACAACACACACTCACACACACACTCACACACACACTCACACACACACACACACACACACACACACACACACACACACACACACACACACACACACACACACACACACACACACGCAAACACTCTTTCCCTTTCCCTTTCCCTTTCCCTCTTTCTCCCTCCCTCCCTTCCTCCCTCTCCTTCTCTCCCTCTCCTCTCCCTCCCCCTCTCTCCCTCCCCCTCTTGCCCCTTCCTCCTGACCTCCATCCCCCCCCCTCTCTCTCTCTCTCACTCTCACTCACTCACTCTCACTCTCACTCTCATGTTTTGGGTCTCATAACATTACAGATCGAGTGAATATTTTTTTTATTAACTTGCATTTAAAAATATATTTATTGGCAAAATACAGTACTCATTTCTTCAGATCTGTTTGATGCAAAATGCATTTCAAATTTTGCTAAACTAATTGGCAAAAAAAAAGAGATGGCTCCTTTTCTGAATATATTTATATGTTCCTTTCTGAAATGTATCTGAATATTACTTTACTATTAAAAATGTATTTTATTATGCTTGTAAGAGGGAATTGGGTTGTTGAAAGAAAATGTGCTTCATATGTATATATATTCAAATATGAATGTTTCTGAGTACTTTCGAAAAAGTCAGTATACAGGCAGACACAGTTAGGTTGGGTTTAGACCCCCCCCCCCCCCCCTTTATATAAGGCTTCTTGGGCATGAGTAGGTTCATGTGTTATGTTCAGAGATGATTTATAGTGCCATTAGGCTCTGATAATTACACAGCTCTTTACTAATAAACACATTTACAATGGTTTTAGCATATAGGTGGTCAGTAATTAGGTATATGGCATTCGTATGCCTTGAATTAAGTGACAGAATTTTTAGTGTTTTTAGATTTTTTTATTTCATGTTTAGGGGGGGATGAAATGTTTCTTTGAATTTGTAACATGAAACAATGGTTTTGCAGTTAATTATGATGGAGCAATTAAGGAAAATGAAATTTTTGTTTGTCTTTTTAGGGGCTTGACGGTATATGATGCTATATTTTTCATATCTGAGATATTATGGTACTGGTTTAGAAAGGTGGAAAATGCTTATTCATAATGGAGAGTTTTTTCCTACTTTATACTTTACTCTCTTTGTGCCTTTCATCCCATTACTTCTTGTTCTTTTCCTCCCACTTCTCTGTTTTTCTTCTTCCCTCTTTCTTATCCCTCTTTTTCCTCCCACTTCTCCTCATTATCATTATCATTATTTATATCACCTCTCTCTCTCTCTCTCTCTCTCTCTCTCTCTCTCTCTCTCTCTCTCTCTCTCTCTCTCTCTCTCTCTCTCTCTCTCTCTCTCTCCCCCTCTCTCTCCCTCTCCCTCTCCCTCCCCCTCTCCCTCCCTCACTTGTATTCTCTCTTAAGGAAATAATATGGTTTGAAA